AATCAATGGTGCTGCTTTGGAAAAGGGTTCCCCTGCCTAGGGCCGTTCCAGCTGCTGTTAAGGGTTTTGCCCTGTCCTGTTCTTGCTTTTGTTATTGTTTTACTTTCAGAGCGACTCCAGGAGGAGCCCTGGAGTTTCTCTTCAGCAAACAGCTCATTGTACAAATCTGTACACACATACCCCCAACCCCCGTGAGGGTAATTTTATATTTATGAAATAAATTATTTGTGATCGTTTCGGAGAGGCTTAAACGCCTGTTGGGCCTTCCTAAGGGTGGGTTGTGAGTTGGAGCTTGTTGATTTTTTTTCCTCCCAGGAAGCGTGGTGCTGGGATTTGGACAGGGTGCACAATTCACGAGGTGGTTTGTTACGGGGCTAGTGAGCTGAGCAGCCAGCACCGGAGAAAGAAGCCCACCTTCTCTGCCTGCCCGCAAACAAACCGCTGTTCCCTGAACTTTGTCGCCGTGAAATGCAGTGTGTAACGTGGCCTGGAGCCAGCCCACGTGGCAGGGTTGGGACTGGAACCAGCACTGAACAGGTCCTGCTGATGGGCAGCAGGGAGAAGTGAGGGGCAGGTCTCCTCCTGCCTCTGCTGTGCCCCAGGGATGCTGTGAGTAAAGCAGGTGTTGGGATCCTTTTTGTTGGGATCCCCAGCTCGGGGAAGAGGAAAGCAGCCTTTCCCTTCGTGCTCTGCATCCATGGGTCTGGATCGAGCTGCCTCAGCTGTTTTGCTGCCTGCAGCTCGCTCTTCCCAAAGGGAGAGCGCGTCCAGAGCCAGGCTGTGCTGGCAGGGAGGGCTGGGACAGCGCCAGAGGAAGGAGGTGATGTTTGTGTGAGGGAGAATGGAGGAGTGACCGAGCTGCTGGAATCAGTTTCATCGCTTCAGCAGATCTGAGATTTGCTGCTCAGAGTCCAAGGTCTGGGTGGTAAAAGGAAAATCACTTCGGGAGGGCAGAGAAACTGTGTTCCAAGCAGTCTCCCTCTTCTGGTTCACTGCTCGCTGGTGTTGCAAGAGCATTAATGTTTTCCCGTAGGTAGGGCTGCTTTAAAGAGCATCCTGCTTCCTCCAGTTACCCCAGCCCTTTTTGCTGAAGGAAATAGGTTTGCTGGGTTTCGTTTTCCTCTTCCAAGGCTTAACTGAGGCTCGGGGATGAGCTACCTCAGAGCAGGACTGCGCTGTGCTGTGAGATGTGCAGGGAAGTGAGGTTCAGGAGGAGCAGCTGCAGGACAGGGAAAAGCTCTCTGAATTTTTGTGCCTGGGTGTGTGCAGTAGTAAGGACGTAACCTCCCGCATGGGCTTTCTCTTTGGACGCTTTATTTACAGTGTTCCAAGAAATGATTTCCTGGGGTGTTGACATGTTTTTCAGCGTGGATTTCCTCCTTACGTCTGAGAAATTGTGCTGGGCTCGGGACTTGAAAGCAAAACCAGAGCTTGTTTGGAGGGGAACAAAAGACTTGGATGTAGTGATGAGCTGGTTAATAACAACAGAGAGGAGGAAAAAAAAAAAACAACTATCAGCCCCAGAATTTATTTTGAGACAAAGGGCAGCAAAGTTAGCATTGTAAACGCCCTTGGCTGTCTGGCAAGTTTGTCTGAGCTGTCTGCGCAGCCACACGATGAACTGAAAGCAGAGCTCCGAGACAGGGAAGATAAGGCTTTACTTGGCAGCAGCTACAAGGAAGGAGCATGCGTCTTGATCAAATAAACATGATGAAGCCATGAGAGTTAAGGTCAACCTGAAAATGTTATTAGAGCTGTTGTTGCATCTTCCATCCCCCCTATTATTTTTTTTTAAAGCATCAGGTTTGTGAAATGTCACCTGGCAGGGATAGCAGGCTGGGAGCAGGGAGGTTGTGGCAGGAGAAGGGGGGCAAAGTGTTTTTTAATTTTCTGGAGCAGTTTGGCAACTGGGCTGCTAGTCCTGAGGTTAGTTACTGAGGTTTTTTACTGATCCTGTTCCCTGAAGCCACAAGTTTCTCCCAGGCAATGCAGGCACACCCCCTGCACTCACCTGACATCGCCTCTGGCTCTGCCTTGACAGTTCCAGGAAGAAATCACTGCAGGGCAAAGTAACACTGCAGCGGGCAAACAGATGAGTAATGAGACAGATGGCATTATTTTATACGCTCCTAGGTGGCAAAGTGTCTCTATTTATGCACACATGCACGCACATATAGGCATGTACAGGCTTTTTGGTGTAAAATCCATGACATGGAGTAGATCAAGATCTTTGCCTGGTGCTGTCCATGCCACCACAACTTCACCCTGGGACGGGTGAGGAGATGAGCCATGCTTGCTGGGAACATGACTTTGGACTCTGCTTGAGGTGCTGTGGTGGATAAAAGTACTCTGCAAGCTGCAGTGCCATGTAGTGCTTCTGCCTGTGGGTCTCAGACTTTTACAGAGACGGACACACTAGGTGTCTTGTATGGGTGAGGCAGTTGAGGCACAGATGCTTAATTTGTGCCCAAGTCTTCTGATGAAGAAAATAAGTAGTGCTGGCTCTGTGCTCTCATTTATTGGCTAAGTCAAAGTGCTTGTTCCATCTCTGGCAATTGTAGAAAAATAAGCTAACGAGCACTTAAGCAGGTTGTGGTTATGACCTCAAAATCTCTTGGTTAAAGATTCCCTGTCTTCTTCATGTCTTCAGGGTGTTCTGCAGGTATTCCAAAAAAAAAAAAAGATCTTTGTATAGCATTGTGCAAATGAGATCACAACCTGGAGAAAGGCACAAGCCGAGTTCTTCCTCCAGGCAGCCTTTGAGATGAAGACATTCAGTTTCTGAGAATGGCTGCGCGTGTGGCCGTCGGGTTGACCTTGCCCAGCCACCAGGCCTTTCAATTAAAATCAAACTTAAAAAAATTGGTTTTAAAAAATGGTTTTAATTTGGGAAACTTCAAACCATTGCCCTTCTCTACAGCGCTGGTGCAGGCAGCTGGGCCCCAGATTTCTTCCCCGGGTTGTTCCCTGCAGCACTAGCAGTGCCTGCCCTCCCTCTGTTTGTCCTGGCGGCAGGGCTCGGTGTCCTTGCTGATAATGGGGTCATCTTGTGTCTGCAGCTGGTGAAATCCCAGGGCTGACACAGAACACCCCCCTTCGTGAGGCAGAGAGGGGTTTCTGGTGATGGTTGCTGCAGTTTTACGTGACTGCAATGCCTGGAATGGAGGCTGGAGCACCTGTAAGATGCTGCTGCTGCTTTTCCAGAGAAACCAGGAGCAGCTGGAGCACACACCTGCTCCCTGAGCTGTCTGGGAGCCAGCAAAGGAAGAGGTCTGTACCTGGGGTGTCAGAGGTGCAGTTGTCAGCAGGTCTGGTGCTGGGGGCTGCTTGCAAGCCTCTCACCCCATGGCTGGGCCCTGTGAAGCACACACAGACCAGGGGGGCTGGAAAAGCTGCAGAGCTGCCAGAGGTGTTGCAGTGCCTTGACAGGACAGTCCCGGGCCAGAGCCCCGATGCTTTTGTAGTTCGTCTTCTATAAAAAAAAAAACTCTGCCCACAAATCATCTCCCTCACAGGAAAGTGGAGCTGGGCACAGGGCCTGACTCTCCCAGGTCATGCACCAGGATGGTTTACCTGGGATGCCGTGGGCTCCTGGCTGCTCCTCCACGCTGGGGGAAAGCTAAACTGTGTTTCAATGAAAACCTTTGCACCGCCTGCTCCGTTTCCTGCAGCTCTGAGTTGTCTGGTTGAGCTCTGAGCTCCCCCGGCTGTTGCCAAAGGCAGCTCGGGGGCTGAGGCCACAGGAGCCCAGCTGAGCTCGGTGCTCTTGGAAGAGCCCTGGGGGTCCGATTCCTGGCGCTGGTCACCAAGGCAGCCCAGAAAGCAAGAGGGAAGATATAAAGTAAAGAATAAAGTACCATTTAAGTGGTACTTCTTGAGGGAAGGGTTTTGCAATAGCACCAGAAGCCAGCTGGTCTGTAAGCGTGCAGCGAGGGCTGGCGCGGTTGGGGATCTTTGCTGAAACGGGATTGCGTGTGACACAGCTGTGCTGCAGGCTCCGCTGCTTTGTTTGTGTTGGGCAAGAGCAAAACATGACGGTCAGAGACGAGCACGCTTCGTGGCCGAGCCTTTTCCATCTGTGAGGCCATGGGAAACCCTCCGGAGAGGGGCTGAAGCAAGGCTCTGCAGCACAGCAGGGATGACACAGAAATGCCAGCGAGGGGAATGCAGGGGGTGCTGGCATGGAGCAGGGTGCTGTGGGGGCAGCCAAGGATGGAGACAGAGAAGGCTCAGGCTGGAAAGCTGTGGGATGGGCAGCAGGAACAAAGAGCAACTCCTGCCTAGCTTCAGCGTGGAGGGGAACAAGCCCATCTCAGCGCCCTGGGGCTTGGCCCTGGTTTGGCTGAGCTGTCCCAGGTCCCAGCAGCCTTGGGCTGGGCTTGGCAGCCCCAAAGCAGAGAGAGGAGCAGCACAAGGACTCCCGCTACCCCAGAAAACTGGGAGGTAGCCCACGAGACACCGGCCTCCTGCTACTAGTGGGCGAGAGCTGATGGGAGCAGTTGGTTTCCTGCATGGCATGCCCAAGCATTTCCTTTCCCAGCACCGTGGGGGAGAGCTGCAGTTGGCTCAGGATGGTGCGGAGGAACGGGGTGAAGGCTGAGCGCCCCAGGTGGGCTCAGCTAGCGTGCACCCCCCCATGGGGGGCAGAAGCAGGGGTGCATCTCTCTGGGAAAGCCTCAGGCATTCCCAGGGGAGTGGCAGCAGCTGCCCTGGCACAACCTTGGCCTGGGCTGCGGAGCCGTTGGAGAGATTAGGGATGCAAGATGGGACAGGACCAGCAACTGCCTGCAGCGTTCACTGGGGTCTGCCTGCAGCTCTCGGGGATGGAGCTGCTGGAAACCACGCACGCCTGCTCCCCAGGGCAGCCTTGGCACTCACAGCTCTGCCTTGATACCCGACTGACTCTGTCATCAACCTGTCAAGTTTGGGCAGCACCGTGGCTGTTCAGGGGTATAGGGCTGGTTACGCAGGGCGAACCTGATGCAGAGGTGCAAGACCAGTGCTGGAGTACAGGATTTATTTAAACAGGCACCGAGACCCCCACCCCAGAGCTGTGCTGGCAGCAGGGGTACTTGCATCCTTTGTGGGAGTCTGTGCCGCTGGCCTGTCCGTGCAGAACAACTTGCACGCCAACAGTCTTAATATGATACAGAGTACACAAGTAATTACAAAAGTGGGCTGCGTCCACCCCAGTGCCCAAGCCAGCTCTATCATGCTCTGCTTCAACACGTCTTTTGTGTCCGTCACATCCTGGGGGTTTAACAACGGGGGTTTGGTCTTGTCCGTGCTCGGCTCCATGCTGCTGCTGCCTGGGCTCAAGCATGGCCTGAGCTGAAATTGTGGAGGGTAACAACCGTGAAGGCTCATGGTGTGAGCAGGAGAGCAGCTGTGCTGGCCCAACAGGGCTGGGAGGAACAAAACCCAAAGGTCAGAAGCACCTTGGCTTGGCACTGTCCGTCTGAGCTGCACCGTGTCCCGCAGGCTGGACCAGCTCATTTGCAGCACAGCTTAGCATCAGGGGGCTGGGCACCCCTCTGTGCAGCACGCTGCTCTCACACAAGGCTCATGGGGAGCTGCCCCAGGCCAGGCTGTTCCCAAGGAGCAGCTGATCTGGGGGTTCAGCATCTCCTCAGCACTGTCAGGGGTTTGGGTGGGCCACGAAGAAGCACCTGAGGGGGTCTGCGGGTGCTGGTGCTTGTGCCAGCTGCTGAGGACCAGGCCAGGGGGCCAGGGGCTGAAGCTCCCCCAGCTTTCTGCTCTTCTGACGGGCTTCCCTGGGCTCCTGGTGGTGTGGCACTCTCGGTGTGATGCATTCACATCTATTTGGAGGTGGAGAGAAGATGCTGAGCAAGACGTGCTGTGCCCTGGGCTCTGTGGATGCGGTGCCATTGAGGACGTCTAATCCACCGAGGCAAGGTGCGCGTCTCTGCCACGTGCCTGGGTGTGGTTGTTTGTGCTGGTAATTAGTCCAGCTCTGTGCCCTGCTCTTTGGCTCCTCAGAAACTGATAGCTGGCACTGGCCCAGGTTGCTAACTAGCCTGAAATGAAACTCCTTTGCTGCTTTCTGGAAGTGGGTGCTGGAGCTGCCCTGTGCCTTCAGGCTGTCAGGGCGGCGGGCAGCCCCGGAGCAGTGCTCACCGTGCCACTGCTCTCTGCTAATCCTGACTTCTGCCCCAAACGCCTCCAGCTCAGGGTCCCGGAGCCTCGCAGCCTGGTTTGCTGGGCCTGCCTGTGCCAAACGTGGATGCAGAGTTGCAGGGGGTTGGTTGTCCTTCCACAGGGAGAACCGGTCTCACATTTGTGGCTGTGACCCTGTGCCTCTGCTCTGTGGAGGGTCGGGGGGGTGGTTACAAGGTACACTGGTGGTGTGGCTCTTGCAGCCTCACCCAGCTCCAGCAGACACGCAGGGTACGACGCTGCGCCAGGCCCCCCGGCCATGTGGCTGCTGTCCCATACAAGTGAAGGCAACGGGACCAGGAGGGGCTCTCCATTCAGCAGCAGCTCAAATAACAGCTGCTGCCCTGGGCCGCACAGAAGAGTCGACACGGCAGGGGCACAGGGGAGGCGTGAGGATGAGGAGGCAGTCACAGGTCGAGCCGGAAGGCCCCGAAATAGCTGGCTGCTGCGTCGTTGTAATCAATAGCCAGCGAGGAGACCGAGACAAAGAGCTCATCGCCGGCCTTGAGGTCAAACAGTCCCCCCTGGTAGAGAGCGTGGAGGCCGTAGTCTGCCTCGGGTGCCCAGCACTTGGTGCCGACCCCTTTGAGCAGGAGGATGGGCTGGCTGTAGGACGTCTTCCAGTTGATGCACTGCACGAGCTGGGGGCCGGAGAGGCGGGTGCTGGCCCCCTCGCTGGGGTAGCGAAAGTAGATCTGGGAGTAGACGTAGTACTTGCCCGCCTGGTTGACCCGCAGCCGGCCGTCCCGGTAGGTGATGTTCTGCAGGTGGGAGTGGATGGTGCCGTCCTCCCAGCGAGCGATGGCGTGGCGGCAGGACTGGGAGAGGTTCCCGAAGCGCTTGGAGATCCCTGGGGAGAAGGAAGGGTCAGCAAGGGGAGGGCACTGCGCTGGGAAGCATCCTCCAGGGGCAGGAGGAAGGGATGGGGCGGCCCTTTCACTCTCCCAGGGTCGTGCAGCTTGGAGTGGGGGTAGAGAGCGTGGCCTCGGACCGGAGACCCATGCAATTTGCTCAAGGTGATCCTGCTTGGCAGGGGGGTTGGACCAGGTGATTTTTCAGAGGTCCCTTCCAACCTCGGCCATTCTGGAGAGGAGAAACCTCTCCCCATCTGCCACCAAGTGCAACCTCCCACGCTGAGCCCCCTGCCCTTCGGGTGAGCTCTCCTCCCCGTTCCCATCCTGGAAACTCTCCAGTGCCCTGCTCGCCACCCCCAACTCACCATCCAGGGCCAGGCTCTGCGGGCGGAGGGTGAGATGTGCTGAGGGTTTGCCAGGTGTTTTGGGAGGAACCTGTCCCTCCGAGGTATTGAAGTAGCTCTTCTGCGCCTCTGCGAGGAAAGAGACAAAGGGCTATAGAGGCCAGAGTGCATGGGGACCCCCAGACCCATGCCACCAGAGCATGTCCTTAGCGACCAGAAAGACCTGGGTAGGACTATGCCTCGCTGACCCTACAAAGAGGGTGTTTACTTGGGGATGGAAATATCTGGTCAATTATTATCTCGCATTCTGTGCTGCCCCTTTGGTAGACAGGCTCCCCAGGCTCCAACCAGACCCAGCTGCCCCTCCAACCCGTGCCGAGGGATGTGAGCCCCTTCCCTGCCCCGTGGGACAGTCTGTGCCTCCCGTCCCACCCCAGCTCACAGCCGTGGGGCTGTGCCTGGTGGAGTTTGCCCCGGAGCAGCCCAGCCTGCTGGCAGCCCTGGCCACAAGCTGAGCAGTGCACGCGTGGGCTGTGGCTCCCTCTGCCCAGCTGCACTTTGGGTGCGAGCAAACAGATCCTTGCTTGGTAGCACCAGGGAGCGGAGCCCCATCCCCTGCCCCAGGTGCTCAGCCAGGACGAACTCACCCTTCACGCTCCTGTGGGCCATGTTCTCCGTCACCTGAACCATTAGAGAAGAAAAAGAGCCCCATGGTTTAAAGGTTTTAAAGGTGCAAAGGACATTCCCTGCTCCCCAGCTCCTCGCATCTTTTCCATTTTTCACACTGTGCCTTTGGACCCTACCAGCTCCTCGATGCAGAGAGCTGCAGAGGGCCTGGCGTGCAGCTGCACTGCTCTGATCCCACTGAAATCAAGCCTCTGCCACCCCCTCGTGAGACGGATGGGGAAACTGAAGCAGGGAGGCAAGCAGGAGCCCTCCTGTGGTGTGTCCCACCCTCCCCAACCCCATGGGCCCATGCTCACCACGGCCACGTAGGCTTTGATGGTGTTGGCCAGCTTGAGGCAAGACTGGTCGCTGATCAGCTCCTCCAGGTTGGAGCCCTCCTGCTGCTGGTTGATGAGCTGCAGGCACCTCAGCTCCTCCAGGCTCCCTTGTGACTGGGCTTTGAGCTGGAACAGAAACACCCAGACATCCACGGATTGCACAGAGCAGGCGAAGGCAGTGTGTGTGAGTGTGACTTGGCTGGTGGATGCAGAGGAGATTCCCCTGGAGGGGATGTGTATGGGTTCAACTGCCTGGCTCCTGCAGTGTCAGGGGTTCTCACGCACCTTCCCCCTTGCAGGGCTGAGCTGTACTGGCTGGAGGCCGAGCACTCAGCCCAGGCAGGTCTCAAAAACTTTCCTAGTCTGCTAGCTTGTGGTTTGGGATGGGAAGCCTTCCTTCCGTACGATGTGAGCTGCTGCATGGTGAGCTGTGCCTTGCCAGCTGGCTCGCTTCTGACCCCGGTGTCCCAGTGGGGTGAGCTCGGCCGGCTGCTTGGTTGCTGTTCTGCTGTATAGGGTGTGGGAAAACCAAGGCACAGCTGGGACAACTGCCCTGAAATCAGCGTGCCAGGAGCCAGGAACGAACACAAGCACCTTGCCCATCCCACCTTTATCACCTTGGCCTGTCCCAGATCAGGACACAGGGCTTGGCCTCGATGTCAGTGTCACCAGCACCCTGTGCTTCCCGAGGGTCCCTGCCTGCTCTAAGCCCTGCAGCTCCCACCAGACCGCTGCCTGCCCCTTGACTGGGATCAGCAGAGGCTCTGGTACCAGCAGAAAAGCTATGTGAAATGAGACAAAAAGTCCTTTTTTTTCTCCTATTGGGCGGGCTGGATTTGCCCTGGAGCGCCGTGTTTCAGAGGTGGGCTGCAGTGATGAACACAGAGGAAGTGGTGTGGTGGCTCGTTCAGCTGGATGACTGCAAAAGGGTGAGCGTAGCCCGAGCAGTTTCGCCTCGTGTGGATTTGGCCAGCCAGGCTGCAGTCGTGCAGAGACGTGCCTGTCTGAGTGGGTGGATGCACAGCGCCTGCTGAGGAAGTCAAGCTCCAAGCAGTGGGGCTGCTCACACGGAGCTCCACAACACGAGCATGACCACGGGCACCACAGCCACACGCTTTTTATCCCTCTGCCCCACTAACAGCTGCCTGGCCCCCACTGCGATGCTAATTGCCTCGAGGCTGCCCGTGCCACCAGCACTTCTCGTTTTAGAGGGCAGCCGCTCTGCCCGCCTTGTCTGGCTCCCCTCCTGGGAAGCACGCACAGGGTAAGGCTTTAAATTAAGTGAAAAGCAGGAGAGAAAATTCTGTAAAACTGGGGGAGGGGGGTGGCAGGGGGAGGACCCGGTGTATGTGTGTGCACTGGGGTGAGGACAGGCTGCCCGGGTTGTTCAGAGACCCCAAATGTGCTGAGCTCTGATTGCCTACACCTAGCACCGATCCCGTGCAGGGACCTGCTGAATAGCCTCCAAATTCATCCGAAAAGGTAAATTCAAGTGGCAATCTTCCTTCATACATTCCCTGAGGCTCTGTCTGCCCCACATTTCCGTCCTCTCACTGCTGCTTTTCATGTAAATCCTTCCCAGTGGGTGCCGCATGGGATCCAGGCACGGAAACAAAGCCTGGAGGGGAGTCTGCTCCGAAGGATGCTGGACGGGGCACCAGACAGGCTGTCCCTCCTGCATCCACGGGCAGGACTTCTCCCAATTTCTCCCTTTTTGCTACCAGGATCAGGTTGTTGCAGCAAGGCCAGCACCCGGGTGATGGTGACGGGGGGCCCTGAAGCTCTTGGGACTGGTGGTCTCCAGCAGGCAGCAGTGGGGCAGGGTCACACCTGGTGGTTACGTGCTGGGACCGATCTCCTACCAGCTCCTAAAGAGGTTTTAGCAGCCCTGCAGGGTGCTGAGCCCCCTTCCCAGGCTCGGGGTGCCCCCTCCCTGCCTCCCTGGGTGGGCTCCTGCCCCCAGCCCGGCTCTGCCACGAACCCCGAGCCCCCTCCCGAGCTCCGTCCCGGCGGCGGGCTCACCTTGGAGATGGCCATGGTGAAGTAGACGAAGAGGCCGGTGGTGGAGGCGATCTGCAAGGCGACGATGGCCATGACGGCCACGCTGCCCCACAGCGGCCCGCAGCACCGCCGCCTCCGCCGCTTCCCCCCCCCTTCCCAGCGGGGGTCCTCCGCCGGGGCCGTCCCCCAGCATGAGGGCCTCGGAGCCGCCACCGGCAGCGGAAAGCCCGTAGGGCCCGGGCCGGGGCTGCTGAGGGGCCATGGCCCGGCCGCCGCCGTGCTCTGAGGGGAAGGGAGCGGCGGCGGGGCGGGCACGGGGCGGGCCCCGCCGGGGGTGGGCCCGGGGCCGTCGGGGGAGCGCTGGGGAGAAGCAGTCCCGGGTCGGGGTGCTGGGCTGGCAGAGGGGAAAGGGTGTTTGGATGAAGCACAGGGGAGCTTTGGCTTTCTCTCCTCTAAGGATGAGGCATGGGGAAGCCGTGGCCTGTCACCCAGCCCCAGCAGGCAGCTGTGGGAGCACCCAGTGGTGTGCTGGGGGCAAATCTGTGGTTTAGGGTGAAACAGGACCTGGCTGTGGGCGAGAGGCTGGACCCTGGTGAAACCCACGATGGGAGAAGCTGCCCCGTGGCCCATCGCCCTCCCAAGTCTTCATGTCACAGCCACCCTCGGCAGGGACACAGTGGCTCATTTTTCTAGCACTCTCACACGATGAATGGCATTTTTTTTCCTTAAAGAAAAGAACTTGGCCCACTCCTCACCCTGCCTGCCAGAAGTGGCACTGTCTTTTCCACTGAATCCTGCAAACGCTGTCTTTCTGCAGACACATTTCCAGCAGGGAAGCCCCGGTGGGCCACATGCTGCTGGTCAGGATTCAGGGAGAGGGAGCTCTTCACAAGTAGGATCTCATTAAAAGGAAAGGAGCAGTTCCAGCAGCTCTTCTTACCAGACATTGTGGCTGCCCTGATCCCTTTGTGTGTCTGGGAGGGAAGCATCAACTTCCTCTCTGGTCCCTAATTGCTGTGGGCTAGGGTAAGGAGGGATAGGAATTGTCCTTCCCTCAGTGCCAGAGCAAGAGCTTGAACTAAAAACCTCTCAAGCATCTTTCCAGTCCTGCTTCAATAATGCAAACTCCTCTGGCCCATACAGGTGGCCTCATTGTTCCTGGAGCACTGGATTTAGGGCAATCATCCCAGTGAAGCAGGTGGTCCCCGTGCACTGGAAGCGACCCCCGGGCCTCCTTCATTCTCCTTTCCTCATCACCCCTGGCTGTCTGGTCACAGCACCAGCCATTCTTGGTGGCCTGTGGATGTTCCTGGCTCACGCTGGTGGCCGTTCCTGGCAGCAGGTGTTGTCCCTGCAGCAGTTCACACCCACTGTGGAGGTGCTGCACCCTGGCAAAGGGCTGCTGAGCACCCAGGCACAGGAGCTAGAGCTAGAAGGTAGTTTATTATTATTATTATTATTATTTGTTTGCTTGTTTTTGAGGGAAAAGCTCTTTTTTGCCTGGAGTGCTCATCTGTGCAGAGGTGCAGCTGTGCCACAGCAGCAATGCTGGGGAGCCCCCCCCACCCACCCAGCTGCTCACCCATTCCCACTCTTCCTCGTGTTTTTTGTAGAGCAGACACTTTTGTTTTGCAGGTAACGGCTTCCTGCCACAGCCCCTGGGCAGGTCTCCCTGGGGGGTTGGTATTTGCTCCCTCCTTGCCCCTCAGGCTGCTGCCTGTGCCCTCGTCCTTCCTCCCAACCCTTACCCTCTGGACCCAGCACTGCAGCCGGGCTGGCAGGGCACGCACCCAGGAGCAGTTTTGTAGCAGTCTCCTCAATGGGCCTCCCTCCACCCATGCCTGATTTACTCTGAATTGATGGTAGGGTCACAGTCTCAGCACTTTCATATCCCCAAGCCCAATTTTAGCCCTATGTACGCACAGATTTCCAGTAATCCCTGCAGCACTGGCCAGGCACGTCAGACCTCTCCAGGCTGCTGGCATGCCCTGCACGCAGAGGAGCCACGTGAGGAGCAGTCACGACCTTCCAGACATGGGAAAGTGGGTAACTGGTCACCTTATCTGCTTTTATTGCTTTCTAAAAGACTTCACCAAGCCTTGAATAATGCAAGCTCCGTACAAATGTCTTTAGATCACTGATCTAATCGTGCTGTGCCCAGAAGGATACTCCTGAGACAAGGGGATCTTGCAGCCAAAAAGCACCTGCCAAATCAAGTGGTTTCCCTCAGCTCAGTGCACGACACTGGTGCCCACAGCCTGCGAGAGACTGGGCATTGCTCTGCTCAGGCACCAGTGTGGGCACTGTCCCTGCTCTGGCAAGTGTCTGGAAGTGGGAGACAAGCGAGGTGACATGCCAAATGCAGTGATGGCTGTTGCCACAGGCAAGGCGCCTCATGTTGGAGTTGGGGAAGGGCACTCAGCAAGGAGAAAGGTGGCTATCCATTTCTAAAAAGGAGATTGAACCCTCCTGGTTGTTCTTCCCAATAAAAAGGCTCAGAACTTCCAGAACCAGGTTGAGCAAGTGGAGGCAAAACCAGAAAAAGGTGCGTCTGTGGGTCGAAACACTTGCAAAATCTTGCCCTAGTCTCAGGCAGCGATTCTGCCTGCTTGGGTGTTGGAGGGCTGCATGCACTGAGGGATTGCAGGAGCCCCACATGCACGGGGCAATGTTTGCCTGTCAGAGCCGCCAGCCAGCCAGCATGGGGAGAGAGCAGAGATGGTCATCCTCCTGCTTGTGGTGGAGATGGGCTTTAGGAGCCAAATGCATTTGCAATTTGGGACATGGATGCATGTGCAGAAGCAGCCCGGGTACTGCTCAGCCATGTGCTGTGATCCTGGTCCATTTGCTGCTCTGTAGGATGGGGCAAGCACCCAGCTGGGCTCTTCTGGTGAGTAGATGCCTGGAGCTACAAGAACTTAGTAGCCTGGGGCTGCTCTCTGTGCCTTGAAGACAGGAGGTTTGCAAAGCAGCCAAGCCTATGAGCGAGGGCAGGTCCAGAGCTTGAGCTGTGCAAAGAAAATTGAGTGGGAGCCAGATGAAGAACTGCCTCCTGAGGCTGGCTGAGTTGTTTTTTTTTACTTTTAATGTTTCCTGGTCTGTGCAGCAGGAGAGTTGGGCCAGCTGAGCCTGGCAGTTTGTTTCCTCAGCGCTGGGTGATGCAGAATCAGTGCAGAAAAGCAGGAGATCTTGTTTGTGTCATCAGCAAGGCACTGGAGGGGGGGAAACTAGGCAGAGATAGCCTGTATAATGTGAGTTGTGTGGGATTTTGCACTCTGCCCCTTATTTTCACTTTGGCTTTGCTTCAGGCATGATGGAAAAATGTGCAATTCAGTCACGTTTCCCAGGTTTTACAGATAGTATGTGCAGGGTCTGTTGGGTTAGCCCAGACTGGACTCGCCCACACCCCCCTTGGGATGGTCAGCAGCAGAGCATTCCTTCCCAGTTCCCATCTTCTGCAGCAGAGATCCAGACCCAGGTCTCATTTTCCTGAGGCTGTTCCTTTAAAGCAAGCCCCAGCCTGGCCTCGTTTGCCTGAGCAGCTGATGATTTCTAACATGTGTTGGCTCCCTGATCTTCAGTCAGGAAGCAGCAGCCCCCCTGGGATGTGAAATCAGAGCAAGCAACTCAGGAAGAACTTTGCTAACCTCCCTGGCATGCTCTCTCTAACATTCGTCTCTTGATTCGAACCAGTGAATTCCTGTGCCAAGCTGTATTTGAGAGAAATAATAAAAAAAAAAGCCTTTTCAGCCTCTTCACACCGTACTTCCAAGTTTCAATGGGAAGCTCAGTGCTTCCAGCTGATGTACTGGACCAGTTCACCTTCCTGAGCAGGTCTGCCCCAACCACGTGGAGAATGCACTGTGACATCTGAGCCTGACATCTGCGATCGGTTCTGGGGGTGGCAGGGACCAGCCCTGCTCCCTTGGCCGGTCCTCTCCTGTGGCCCAGCAAAGCCCGGGTGGTTCACCCCCTCCTTAGGGCACTGTAATATTTTACCAGGTAGCAGGAACCTGAGACACAGGAAGATGCCCAGCTTATACGATGCCCTGGTGTTTGTTTATCCTGGGGGATGCTGCAAATGCTCTGCTGCAGGGACATGCCCCGGCTGAGTGTGCTCTGTCAGAGGGAGGAGACGCTGCTCTGGATGCAAATTACAGAAAACACAGAAATAGCAGGAGAGCTCCCAGGCTGCTTATTATGTAGAAGCAGTGCAAAGGGATGGATGCCAATGTGAAATGCGTTCATCTGATTCGTGGCATTATGGAACAATGCTAGGGCCACATGGTATGAATGTGTCCTTCTGTCTTACGTAGCCTTGTATAACCACAAGTCTCAGAAAAACGGAATGTACATGTATAGTTCTTGTATCTTGCAAAGGAATAGTCCAGCACTTTGTGTCAATAGGGGATAAGAGAACAAAGGGGTTTCAGAATGACTGCTAACTGTTATGACGATTGCATGGGACACTATGCAAGCCTCTGATATCTGGCCAAGAGATTAAGGAGAAGGGGAAAGCTGAAGGATGACTAAAAGACAAAGCTTGCAGGGGACGCTGCACAAGTCTTTGATATCCGGCCAAGATGGACAAAGGAGAAGGACAAGAAAAAAAGCCTGGGAGGAAGACTACGAGCCTTCAGCACGAGAGACCTCCAGAGGGACCACCAGAGAACTGATACACATGTGCCAGTAGGAGGGTTCGGATTCTGGGAACTAATTATAATAACCCTGCCTTTTCTAGAAGTAATAATGATTATGTGGGAGCCTAGGAGCATAAAAACCAGCCGCCTGATGTAACTGGTGTGCATCTTGGTGGAGCAGAGACTCCCGGCGCACCCAGCGCTGTTTGCTTACCTCTATTCCTTTAATAAATTGTAAACTTTGATTGTAACCCTATTTGGGACTTCTTGGGACTACTTGGGACTTGGGATATGATCCTGTGTGATGTGCACGAGGTGACCCTGCTTGGCAGGGGGGCTGGAGCAGATGACCTCCAGAGGTCCCTTCCAACGTCAGCCGTTTCTGTGACTCTGTGATTCTTTGTCATCAGGACCAGGAAGGGGCAACCCCAGCAGACATGACTCAGCACCCAAACAGCATGACTCAGCACTCCAGAAATGTTGTCTAACAATGCCAAAGTGTTGATACAGCAGTAACTGGGCACCCGGTTTCTCTGTGGGGTCGGCAGTCCCAATCTGCCTAAGGCCACTGTTGAACCAGCAGAAAATCTCAGCCAAAGTTGTTGTGATGGGAGGAACCTGTGTTTCTGAGAGATAC